GTTTCTTGATTTAACCTATGCATTCTGTATTTGAGGGAATTATATTTTGTTCCTCACTGTGTGTGTAAGTGTCATCACTGAATTGATGGCAAATAACGGAGTATAGCAACCCCAGAAATTATGAAACTGTGAAGATGTAGGATCAGTATGCAGCACTAAAAGATCTGATATGGCTCTACTGATTTGACTAAAGTTATACCAGTTAGGCATCTGCCAATCCATAAGTTACATAACAGGCCAGATCATGGAAAGCATGTTAAATAAACTGAAATACATGGCAAGGCATGATGAGGCACTTTTTTCTGAGACATGTTATACTTGTCAAATATTATGCAAGGGAAAATGGATTAAATACAAGAAACTGGTCTCTGGCAAATGCAGGCTTAATCCTATTTGTACTAAAATCAGGAAACAGTCTTGGCCTTGATTTAGTAAAAGAATGGGACATTGAATTCACTTTTCCTGTTATTTCTATCCATTGCGAAAGGTGAGAGGGCTTTAAAAGCAGTGACTATATCAAAAAGCCACTTCTACTAAAAGAAAATATTACATTGGTACTGACAGTTACAGGTAGGACTTCTACAGTCTTTTGAGAGCATATTCAAGCTCAGAGGTATGTGTTTTTGTTTTCATTAGCATTCAACAATTACACCAGGTTTATTAATAATACCATAAAACAGACAGTAACTGAGTGTATGCTCTGCCACTTTTATAATGCCGCTCTGTGTTTGAAAGCTCCAAAATCTACTTAACCATAGAATAGTGTCTTGGGGTCACAGAAGAAACATTACTTAGTCCATTTAAAAGTGGACAAAAGGAATTGATGAATACCTTGAAGAGACAGTGTTGCATCAGCAGGAAAAGCAAAGATGATCTAAAAGGACTTTTGCATGCAATTTCTAACAGCAACAACAAAGTGGAAAACATAGCACTGACAACTATAGAAAGAGTGAATAAAAATACCTGGGGGTTAACAGGAATCAGTCATGGGTCCTGAGGAAAGAATCAGTTTTTCAGAGAATAAAATCCATCCTTACCTATTCTATATACAGTGAAAACTTCTGTATTTAATGTTTGCTTTACTAAACGAATCACATCCTCTTCCACAGCATTTTTTTCTTTGGCGAGAAACAATTTCTCTTCCTCTTCCAGAAAATCCAAATTTTGGGAGCTACAAATGAAGCAGCAGTTTTGAATAAAGTGGTTTGCCCCATATTTATTCAATGAATGCATAGGAATAAAGTATATTTGGCTTCCATACACTATCATAGTGTGCATTACCTCCCACTTTAACAGTTTGCCCACTAGAGGATAACACAGTTTGTGAGTGCTGCCAGCTCAGTGGATAAATTTATAATGGTTACTCTGCATGCCAATATGCATTGATAAATGCCAATTTTGAAACTGGTAATCACTCTTGAAGCAAATCAGAGAAAGCTTTATTGATATTTCTGTACTGTAGTACATCATTTATTAAAATATTAATTCATTCACTGTGGCAAGACTAAGTATGTTATGTTATTGCCTTTGCATTAAACTTTGAAGGTTAAATTTCCAACAAGGCTTTAAAAAAAGAGCCTTCAAGCTTTCTTTACAGTCATTAATGAAGGAACTCAACTAAGATTTGCAATGCAACTAAGATCTACACTGCAATCCAAGCTGAAGTTTGTAGTGTACACAGACTGCCCACACTCAAAGCAAAAGTGCCTGCATCTATTTAAACCTGATTACTGGAGGTCACCAAATATGGAGGCAACTGTAATAGAAAAACTGGCTGGAATTTCTGATCCAAGAAAGTAAACTGATCAAATATATTCGTGATGATCAATCCTGATACTACATGAACTCTCTCTCTCTCTCTCAATACAGAGATCTGGATCTGAAATTAATAATGGAGAGCATCACACCTTGTGCTATAGTTTCCCTTCTATTTGTTGACATGGAAACACATCACACTATGCTAATTATCTCTACAAAGAGATCTAAAGAGTTTTAAATATAATACGCATTTGAAAACTATCAGCAATTAAAAAAATAAACGAAAAAGGGCCACAGATAAATTATTATACACATACAACTTACTCAGTTCTAGAGGTGTCAGGTATAACATGAGTTGTCTTTACAAAACCAATTTGACCAGTAAATACATGCCTTCCAATAAACCATGGCATGCATTCAATGAAGTAGCCAATGATTTCAATTTTGTCCCCCTTCTGGAAGCTAATCTCTTCAGGAGCAGCACTTTCGTAGCTGGTCACTGCTAGAGAAGATCCTGTTGCTGCACAATAAGGATTTGGAGATGCATTAATTTGAAGAGATAGGCAGACTGCAACTCAGCATAATAAAAGGAAACAATAATGGCCTGTGATAATCCTGAGATTGTTGAATGACTTTTCTGAGGAAAGATTTATTACCTTTAGGTACTTTAAAAGCAAGCTATTACTATTTAGAGCACTTCAGTATAGAACAAAGAGAAAGTCAATCCCACAGTCAGTCAGTCAATCCTTACAATACTTGGGCAATTCCATTCACTTTTCAGCATTTCAAAACTAAAAATGAAACAACTGCTATTTTTTCAAGTATCCCTAGAGTTGGTTGAAGTATTTTCTGAAATTTTGACGTTTGAAAAAAGCTTTTTAAAATTTGATGAAATTTCCCTCCTCCTAATTTGTCCCAGCTACATCTCTCAATTTTCAAACAATATCAGAGCTTTAAGGGTTTAATTGTTGACACCAGTACTTTGCCCTAGTATGGTCCGCAGGATTTGGCCTACAGTAAATGCCTTGTATAGCATCCATGCACAGCACTGTTTCACTTCTGGATTAGTATACAAACAGGAAATGCCAGTGAGTGGTAAATAATTAATCTTTGTATTTGTGGCAGTTTTAGCCATGGGGCAGGGCATCTGTATGTATGACAACATACATATTAAAATCCTTGGATTTTTCTGATTTACCTTTCTAATTGGCAAACTTTAAATACATACTTTTGGGAAGAGTCTATAAACTTATTCCCATTCCTTTTGACTAGATTGTTTTATAAAGCTGCTTGATCCATCATCCTCATGTGAATGAGTAGTATTATAAGAAATGCAATAAAATAGCATTGAAAAGTAGAATGGATAAGCCTTTTAAGTCAAAATGTGCTGCACATCATCATTGCTAAAACAAGAATTAGACATACATAGTCTGTTAAGAATTTTTGGATGAAAGATGCTCTAGAAATGTACTGTACTGAGATATAAAAAACAGACTTCTATGTATCACTAGCAGCGCAATACAACGATTTGAAAACAATTCTTCTACTCTAAGGTATACTATTAGCATTTCTAAATCATTTAAAGTTTAGCTCCATGATAGATAAAAAGAATAGATAAAAGGATTAGAAAGAATTTCTTACCAATTTGCTCACTGGGTTGAGAATTTGTTTTGCAAGCAAAATCAATAGAATCAGAACAGACTTTAAGAAACCACCTAGAAGAGAAAGGTGGGGGGGAAAAAAAGTGTTAAATTAAGTTAAAAAACACCTCACTAAAATGTTTTGACAGTCCCAATGATATTTTATGCCTACTTCTTTAAGTCTATTATTCATTTTAGTGTTTTTTTTTCCTGTGGTTTTCAGAATTGTAAACTTCTTTCACTCTGGCAACTAAGGATCATATATGGAAATTATTGAAATGTCATAAAATCATACTCCATCCTCTTGATTATGCAAATCATATTATGATCAAATATTCATTAGAGGTAAAAACTAGAAGGAAAAAAAAGGGGGGGGGGGAAATCTCACCAATTTCCACAAATATTTTCTCTCTGAAAATTTTCTTTTTATGTAAAATTTCTCACTAACTCTTCTTCCTCAGGTACTGATGGTAGCAGTATTTAAGCTATTGCAAAGTTAACACAGAAGCTCTAACTGCATTTAGCCACATAAAATAGCTATGCTAAGATATTCAATGTGAAATTTAACACATTTCTCTATTTTCAGGTTTGCAAAGTGCCAGTAAAAAAATAAATAAATAAAATCTTACATTCATTTCAAACTGAATCTCTTTGGGGCAGGGAGCATCTTTTTATTCTGTTACCTGTCCTGTGCCTTGCACGGCAAATGCTGACTAAGGGGCTAGGTTGTCGGTTCCACCACAGTACAAACAATAAGCACATTTTGTTAAAGAGCAAAAGTAGCCTTGACTATCTAGAGAGCTAAGTTTCAATGTCTCGCACTTTTTCCCCAGTATTGTGTTGTGAGTTACATGAACAAAATCAAATACTTTATTAACTATGCACACCCTTCCACCCCCCGAACAAAAATCAGCCTTCCAAAATTAGAAGTATGCAAACATTGTGCTCTAATGCTGCCAGAACAGCTGCCACTTCTGTGACCCTGGCATGCAGAATGGGCAGAGTCCTGTGTTTATTCCCTCACAACCACAGTCTCTACTGGCTGAACACTGTAGCTTATGCATGCCCTGCCATACCTAGAAGCAGCTCTGGCTGCCTCATCCAGGGTGTCCCCTGGGATGCTATCCTTCCTAAACACTCTTAAGTTTCCAAGAGGACTTAATCTTATGTCACAGTCAGACCTAGCTCTAGGAATCTCTCGTTTTATATACTGTACCTTCCAAGAACAAGATGCATGTCTTGTTTGGGGCATGTGGAACATGAGAAAATACGGTAGCTAAAATTAAAGAATTATTCTGGCTCAAAGACTGGTTTAGCCAATGTGTTTCTTCAGGGAAGGCAGCAGAAGCCATTTTGTATTTGCTTTTGTTTGCTTGCTCTCTTAGCAGCAGTAAAAATGGTGTTTCTGATATTTTTCTAAGAGTCAGTGGCCTGGGGTTTCCTAGTACCCACTACTAAGCACTTACTTATGGGGCCTACTTCAGCCTCAGACCTCTATGGGCCAGAAAACGACGTTCTGCTAATCCCTGCAATAATGAAGAGGGGAAGGCCCACTGACAGATTAACAACATGAGGCTGAGCCCCAAGGAGGCTGCAACAAGACGTTGCCAAATGGTGGAATGACATAATAAGCTAGTGATCTCTCCCCACTCAGACATTTCTGAGTTACAGTTGTTCACATGTGGAAAGTAAAAACGTATCCACCAACCTAAAAATTCTCAAAACCAACATGCTTTCTACTGCATTGAAAATGGAAAGCCATTGTAAGTCAAGAAAAAGGCACTTGATTTATTATTCCATATGACCTTAGGCATTTTCCTTACAGCACTGAGGAAGTAAGAAGCGTAAGAAGGGAATGAGAAAGATCAATGGACTTCCTGAATACAGGGTGATATCCACAAAGCCAGCCCCAAATGCCTTCATTTTAAAGTGTCTATATGTAAATAAATATACTTGTACTTATGAAATAGAAGACTCAAGTCGGGTACCTACTGATGAAAAGGAATCAAAGGTTCTGTAGTGACTTTATTGTCTAAAGTCAGGTCATCACTCAGTGATCCACCAGATGTGTCTTCAGTCACAAACTCATTCTGATAAACTTTCGCTACAGTATCTGCAGCTGTCACCTCTTTTATGAGGTTGTCAGAACACAAGACAAAGAATGTCCCTTAAAATAAAAGCAATGCACGTCAGGTTTCAAATTTTGTAGTACTTCAGTCGTTTTAATGTTGCGCGTGCTTTAAAGTAGGCCAACTTACTATTTTAACTGAATAGAATTCATTAGACTATTTTGTCATACAAGTTTGTCCCAATTTGTTTTTAACCTCTATTTCAGTGTTTTCAATCTTTCCAAGCTTACAACCGACTTCTGCTATGAAACTAGCATTTCCAGCTGTGTTCAAATGGGGTCACAAACCCCATATGTCATCAGAACCCTTAATCTGGGAACTGTTACTAGAAATGCTTCTAACCTAAAGCAATTTTATGGGTGAACTAGAATACAATCGTAAAATGTGTTCAATGTGTAAAACTTGCAATGTGTTCAAACCATAAAGCTGAGACAAAAATTATGTGTAGAATTCTTAGATTGCAATATTTTTATGGTATCAAAAAGATATATCAAGTGATTTACTGCCCCATGGCATGATATTGCAGCCTCACTTACCTATTGATGTAAATGAGTATACTTATGCGACTATGTGACAGATGAAGAAATTTTACTGAGTTAAAGATGTAAGGAAAAAAATCCCCCTGATAAACTTAGCAGGTATTACAGTCAGGGATAAAATTTCTGAGCTTCCATTTCCCATAGGATAGACAAATAAAACTCTTACTGCAGATAAAACAGCACATGGTAAAGTCCTCCCATTGACCTCATTATAATTTACTCATCTGTCCACACCCTAAGAATGGTAGAATCTGGATCATTATGCATTTTAAGAGACAAGCATTTTTTAAGTATCCACTCCCAAATGCATTTATTTACTGGGATTGTAAAAGAAACATATGTTAAAAATATTCTGCAGCTGTCTCCTACACTGTACTTCTAATACTAAAAAGATTTAAGATTCCTCTAATGTTGTAGTCAATACTATGGCATTTGTTTGAACCTCCCCTCCTAGTGAGGTTTCTACTGAATGCAAAGGACTGAATTAGACCTTTAATATGTTTCCTTTTGCATTCCAAATACTATCTTTAAGAGGTAAGGGGGCCCTGCATAGTCATTGCAAATACATTATTCCTTACCTTCCTGCATTAAAAGACCTCTGTACATCAAATGTAGAGACTCTTCATTTATAGAGACTTCAATTCTGGCTTCTTCTTGTTTACCGTTATTCTTCTCTTGTGAAGAGAGCCAGAAAGACTGATCCAGCAACAAGTTCTCCATGCAGTGATTTACAAAACCTGGCAAGAATCCAATTCAAGATATTTCCTTTAATGAAGTTAACACAACAGCCTCTCCAAAAGGCTGTAAGCAGCGGTAAATAGTTAGGTAATTAAATTAGTGGTTAAAATACAACATGCGGCTATTGCTAGATTGCAGTGTTGGCAGAATTCCGCATACACATGCAAAGTTCTTGGTGATATTAGCTGGAGTCTCCGACACAGGTCTAATGGATATATCAGATGTGAATTAGCATAGACTACCAGTAACAATAGTAGTAAATTAAGATTTTTCAATCAGCCATTTCTGATACTAAACAGAAGCGTTTATATAAACACGAGAGACACTTTGAAGATCATGAAAACAAACTGCTGAAGCAGAATGTGTTGGAAAGTTTCAGGTAAACATTATCTCCTAACTGTTCAGTGTCATAACATACGTTGTTCACCCTGGCTGTGGAAAGATATTCATTTCTACCATTGCAGGGTAGAAATATTCCCAAGAGGGGTCACCCCAGGCTGGGGAAGGCATGGGGAACAGCTGGTTTTCCACTCCCAATTCTGGGAGCATTTGAACAGCTGGGAAATCTTTCCCATTTGTCCTGGGGAAGAGTGGAGCAACGCGGTTTTTATCCATCAAACCCTTTCAATAATTATTTTCAGTTAGTTTTATGTACACATCTTCCCCTACAAACATATTGAACAATTCTGGGATTTAAAATAATAATAATAATAATAAAATCACTTTACCAACCAAGGGTATAGTAGGTTGTAAATTTCCATATCTCTTCAAAAGTTTTAAAGGTCACCACTATTCGGTCTTGGTCACTATGAATAGACAACAGTCTGGCAGACAGCTCCTAGCAAAGTGAAAAAAAATGTTATCTTACAGCTTCTAGATTTACCAAGGAGTAATAATATTTTAAATACAGGAAGGCATGGATATACAAACACAAGAGTGAAAAAAAATTAAAAGAACATTTCTTCACTGTAACTGTTATTCAGTCATATTGCTCATTGCGCCTAAAATAGAAGTGACCCGGGAGAGACCCCTAGTGGTGAGAAGGAGGAGGCTCAGCTGCCAGTCACCAGGGCAGCACAGGTGCGGGTAGCCAAGACAACCAGTGAATACCACCTGACCGGAAAGGGGCAGGGCCTGACCTATATAAAGGTGATCCCGGCTGAAGCTAGGGAGTTCAGTTCCCCTCTGGCAGCCAAGGAAGTCGGGCTTCTCTACTTTGCCTGCTTCAACAGAGCTCCAATGGCCTGAACAGCTTCCGTGGAAGGAGACCGGGTGGAGGAAGCCCTGGTAGGGATTTGGGAGGATAAATGGCCTGATGGTTTAGAGTTTACGTTTTAGCCAGGAGGCTTAGCTTTGAGTTGTAGCCGATTGGCTCATGTTATTACATTCTGTTGTTACACCGAAGGACCAGGTGAGGCTATAAGGGGATGGAGGAGGCCTCACGGGGGCTCCATGGTAGCGTGGAGACCCCGCGCCAGAGAGGGCACAGCGTTTTGAGGTGTATCAACCCTGGCCCCAGTGCGGGCGAGAGCGCGGGGAAAGGCCCCAGTGCAGGCAGCAGCTGCAGGACAGGCCAGAGAGCACCCGTGAGGGCACAGACAATGGAGGAAGATGAGCCAGAGGACCCGTCAAGGCATGGGTGACTGTAGGACCCACGCGTAGCCCCAGAGGCTATAGTGCACAGTGTTATTGAAGGCAGGACACAGACTGGGACATCGCAGGGCACTGTGCCAAAGAGGGTAAAAAGGCAGCCTCCCTTTAACAATATCAACAAAGATGTGGCAGGGAAGAGAGGATGCATTGAAACCAATTTGGCATGGTAAGGGGGGCGCTAGGGGAGTTCACGGCACCCCTCGGCCCAGCCCTGTCACACACACATACTACAATGTACCAAAAAGCCCTCCTATTAACTTCTCTCGAGCAAGGCCTGCAGTCAGCATTTAGCTACCAGTTGTATATGTATACTTATGTAAGCGTTAAAGAATCTAACAATGAGCTAACTTCTAATTTCATTTCTGCTTATTAGTTACACTAGCAAGTGTAGTGAAGACAGCTAAATTGCATTTAAGCCAAATTCAAGTAATCATAGGGAAATAGGGCTGGAAGAGACCTTGAGAAGCCATCTAGTGCAATCCTATGCTTTAAGCAGGATCTTCCCTATCCAAACCATCCTATACAAATCCATCGTCTAACCTATCAGCAAAACTAAAAGTTAACCCTGACAATACACAGGACATACGACCTTCACCTTCCACAGGTAAAGAAAGGGGCTACAGTGGTCAATCCAGTGATGTATTCATATATGGATTTATGTCTTAAATGCCATTTCCACAAGTAGAACAAGCCTAGCTCCTTCAACCTCTCCTCTTAGGACTTGCCTTAAAATGAGAACATTTTAAATTTGTAACTTTTCTGAGGAATCTTTAGCTAAGCTCCCTTCTCCTGTAGAGGTACTGAGAACTCTTCTAGCACTGAAGGTATCTGCTAATCCCATGCTCCAGCACTTCTCCTGTTTGCCCATATGGACTAGAAGAGATTTTTTTCTCCCCACTCAAATCCTGCTGACTTCTGCAGGAGAAGGTTGCCCTCTTCTGAAACACTGAGATGTTAACCCAAGCTACAGCTGTGGGGATTGTTTTTGGTTTGGGGTTTGCTGAATTTTTGACTGAGGTGCTCTGATGTTCCTGCAAACGCATAGAAAGCTCAAAGGTTCCTTCCTAGAGGTGCGACCCTGAGAAAAAAGGCAAGACCAATTGTCAAATGTAGGGTCAGAAGGAATTTTTCCCCTAGGTCAGATTGGTTTAGACTGTGGGGGTGGGAGGGAAGTTCCTCCTGCTACAGAGTAGGGTAAAACCCATTTTATAGCATCTTCTGAGCATATAAACAAACTATTTCCTTCCCATTGTGTTAGCATTGGAAGTGCCATCCTGTGCTCTGCTTTTACCTTTTATATTATAGGGTGTTCTTGGCATTTCAGATATTGTGCCTTGTAATTGTCTGGGTAAATGAGTACCTGTGAATGTATGATCAAATATAATAGCACTTCCACTCCTGTACATGCCATTTAGGTGAATTAACAGTGCTATGAGAGCCTTTAATTTTGTATTCAATGAAAGGGCACAGTAAACAAAGCAGAGCCATCTCTTGCCTTTCACAAACCTTCTGAATACCTCTTACCTCAGAAATGCTGAGGATGAAAGAAAAACGACACTGCAGGAGAGATGCTTTTTGAGAAACTAAATGAAGGTGGAAACAGATGCCTCATTTGAGGCAGTTCTAGTTGTCCAGGGCTTTAACCCTAATCAAAACATGGCGGCACAGTCATTGTATGCATAGCTCTTCCAAGTTGAAGGGCTGTTCCTCTGCCAGTGACAGTGATAGGCCCACCCCTGGAATGACTCGCAATTAACTTGAATCACACGTAATTAACTTACAGACCGTACACAGCACTGTTCTAGGGAAAAGTGTTAGCACATTTTAAATTGCATACTTCATAGGTGCTTCACAATGAACTCATGTGTCTGCATGATCTTGGGACAAAAGGCTTTCTCCTGGAAGACATGCAATGTGTATTTATACCCTGAGATAGATACAGCATTCCTGTGGCTTTTAACTAAACTCCCATGCAAAAAAAAAGTTGTTCAGAACCCTGAATTCTTCAGGTAAGTATAATCACAGCATCTTGAGAGGAATGATATAGGCTACCTCAAGATACAGAACGTAAAAAGCTATTTTAACTTTAGAGTACAGTATTTTAAATATAGTAAAACAAATACCAAGAGTTAGAAATGAGTAAAAAAAATTGCCATCCAGATACCCCAGGGTGTACTGTATGATAAAGTACACAGTCGCACCTAAACTAGAGGATGCTTAAGAACTATGAAGTAAAGCAAGGGTCAGCAAACGATGGCCTGTGGAACTCTTGAACCTGGCCCGTGGAGGTGGGGCTTCAGTGGCATTCAGCTGTGGGCACTCTCCTTATGATGGTGCCAAGGCCAGCACTAGTTGTGGGCAGGTCCTAGCACAGGGGTGGGCAAAATGGTGGATCCAGTAGGTGGCTGGACTTCATTTCCCAACAGTTCTGCCCATACTGCTCCAACTAGTCTCCAGGTCAGCGGGGTTATGACAGCACAAGACTATGACAGCCTCACGCTCCCAGGGTCTCCATGGAGACTAGCCCAAGCAAAACGGGCAGGGCACAGAGATGGGCAGGGAGCTGCATCCAGAGCCAAGATTTTGTGGATGTGACAGTGAGGGCTGGAGTTGGGGAAGAGCCGCAATCTGCTACCTAAACATTCCTGCCTGCAGCACCCATGCTCACCACAGGGGTACGTGGGTAGCAGATCACAGCTCCGCCCTAGATCCAGCCCCGTACCATCACTACCACAAGATCCCAGCCCCAGCGTGGCTCCCCACCCAGCCACACACACTACCAGCACCATTTGGGCTCTTCTCCATAGAGACCCTGGGACAGTGAAGCCAGGATGGCTCATGGAGACCAGCCAGAGTGGTACGGACAGGGGCTGCTGGGAAATGGAGTCTGCTGCAGCCCCAATCTGGGCCATGGGCTGGACTTTGGCAGCCCTGTCTTAGCACCTACCTATCCATCTGCCTCTGACCCAGCAGATGGGAAAACATTACAAACCCACGGACCAACAATGTTCATCAGTATTTCCATCTACTAGCTGAGGATCCTATCCTCCATCACAGTGCAAACAGAGGTGCAGAGTTAAGCAGTGCTTGCAAACTTACTATCCCACTTTCTGACCACTGTTGTCACTCCTAATGCTCTAGTAATATGGTATTTTAATGGGGTACATCATAATAAACTAGGGGTGAGAGGCACCTGTCCAGGCCACCAGCTTAGGAGAAACATCGCAAATGACCCCATCCCTGCATCTCCATGCCCCAGCAGCAAAAGCAGCCCCATGCTTACCCCGGCTGCTGCTGTTGCTACTGCTTTAAGAGAAACAAGTGGGGCAGGCAGAGTATGTGGCAGCAGCACCAAGAGCTCATCTGGCGACTGTTTTGTTGGAGTTCCCAGAATGGGTATGCCATGGGGCTGCTCTTGCTGCCAGGGCACCTCTCCCTTCCCCCACCTTTGGAGGCAGTGAGGGTGATACCAGTCTCCCACTGGGCTTGCTCAGGGCACCAACTCTGCCTGTTACCCCTCTAGACTATATGTTATAGAATGGAAAATATGCTGCCCAGTCTTCAGATTAACTCAGCTGTAGTAAATCTTATGGACATTAAAATGTTATATTTAAGGACATAATCTTAAGAAATGTAATTACAAATTTTATAGGAAACCATCACTGAAACTATCACTTATATCTATAAAATTAGACCACATAGAATTTCATTATTTTTCTTGAAAATAATCTTTTTAAAATTAATTTTAAAAATCTTTGGACTATTCCATCACTTTCCATGTATTCTTTTACCTTTAATTTTTATACAACATATACAGCTTGCTCTTTAAAAAATAAAAGCCTCATGCTCCCAGGAGGCACCTCTCACCAGTGCTTTGATTTCATGAATTCACTTCTCAACACCTGCTCAAATATTAATAAGAGAGCAGTTTTTTGCAGTCCTTGAAATCTATTAATAAAATTACCAACACTTGCTGAGATGATGCCCTGAAGGCTTCACTCTGCACTGCTCAAGATCAAAACAAATTCACAATTTTGTAAGTCAACTTGCCACAAATCCTGCCTTTCTGGAAAGTCTTTTCTTAGACCTGCTTTTCAACAGTAACACAGCCTTAAAATTAGACAATTTGTATGCTGCCACACTCCCCCCCCCCCC